TGTGGCAATGAGGTTACTCATGTTTCCCCTACATCCACATAGTCGTTGTCACACGTTTCGCCGGGACTTTGTTACTGCAAAAACGGTGTGTATGTGGCTTCCTAATTGTACTGACTTTAGTCATTTAAAGCTGTGGAGATGTGGATTTTGAGTGAGTGAGCAGGAATAATGGGATGGGAGTGTCGTGGAGACACCTATTGGGTCTTGAGTAACCGGATAACAACTGCTCCAACCGTCAATTGAGGTCACACGCACACATCAGTGGGCCGAAAGACGAAGTGAAGTATCAAGCCTGACAAGGTGTTGCCTAAATGTGATACATTGTTGATAAGATTGCTGAAAATTCTTCGATCGGGTATTATTTTTTTGTAAACAACCAGAGCAGTTACGATCCAGGGGCTCAACACTTCCACACGTCATATTTCTTCACCCAAGAACGGTCCACTATCACTACAGTTTCAGCACAGGATACCTCCCGAAATGTGGTCAGCTGTAGCAGGTTAGCTGAGGCGGTTTAGAAACCCATTTTCTCTGATCTTATCCGTCGGGACTGCACACAATTAGGACGCTTTGGAAGGAAGTAAGACAAATAAGATACTTACCATATTCCGCTACTCCATTCGTCCGACAGTTGAACACCTCGGCTTAATCAGCCGCCGTACACTTCACCGTGTATTTCGCATGTCTCATAGAATCGAGTGTTGTAATATAATCCGTCGACTTATTTTTTACTGGACAATGAAGCGATATTCACGTGGGTGGGGTGAGGACTCGTTCAAATCGTTTGAGAGTCACCAACAATGTCCATCTGGAACGTCGAACTAGAACCCAAAGTACACGACATCGCTTCGTTACGACAAAATTACTGATCAAATCGGCATAAACACATGGTGACACAAAATAAACCAAGGATAACTCCAAATCTGTAATGGAATCTGTCCCCCTGCCCAGTATAAGGACCACCTACGAAGTTCACGAAGAACAGTCCCTACAAGAGGAAAGGTGACCATAAAGCGCGGCTATTCCACTCAAGATCTTCATGCCAGATAACCGGCTCTTTTAAGTTACCAAGACATGGCCACCAGAAGTCTCAGTCGTTGTTTCGGACGTAAAGTATTTTACACTTACTCTTCATGCAGGTGAACTGTGTTTGGTCACTTAGGTTCATACCCCAGCAAACAAACGTGTTTGAAGTCTGGCTGAAGACACCATCGATCGTGGAATCTCTTACAACACAACTGTGAAACGGAACCATGTGCACTGCCACGCAGGGTAAGCATTTACCACGCACTTCTCGGTAAACTGGTGTTAGCGTAAGGGCCATTAAGCTTTGAAAAGTCAACGTCCGTGATTGCACATAGTAAAATAGGCTTGCTCAATGAATTAGTTATTCCATCCAAGGCGCCCATACAGTTATTAATTGCGGAAACCAAAGATTTGGCTTTTGCTGTTCGGCAAAACAAACAGTATCGTTTGGTGTTTGTTGCCTTGTGCGAAATTCGTACTGGATGACCTGAGGCAGCTTGGGGTGGAACGATCGATTAAACCACATGATGAGTATGTTTTGTACCAAGAACATAATAGTTGAATGCCGTCTATTGTGTCTCTGTCGCACCAAAAGCCCATTGAGATCCACGAATATTCTGAAGCACCAGACATGACTTCATAACCCAGCGGAAATTTGTGTAACTTCCTTCCAATGATGAACGGTGTGTGTGTGTGTGTGTGTGGTACTAAGCTTGTAGACTACTCCGTAAGTCAGGTATAACTGACTTGGTAGGTAATGCATCCGTTCAACAAACCAACACAACTGTCGAACTTGGTAAGAATACAATGAATTTTGAGCGAAATACACTCATTTGCAAACTAATTTGGTTTTTCGAAAGACTCACCTGGAACCCAGTTGAATCCCTCGTTTGTGACGCTTCCAGATAACTGGATGTGCTGCACCAAGCCGCCTCGTGTCTCAGTCGCTACGATATTCTTCGCGTTACATATATATTCGTAATGCACTACCCAGACGAGGGATTCAGCAGGGTTCCAGGTGAGTCTTTCGGAAAACCAAATTAGTTTTCGTGTAAGTGTATTTCGCTAATTTCGTGCAATCTGGTTTCAAGTAGAACATAAGGTTGACGGAAACTCGGGGACTGTGCCTACCTGATGAGCCCCAGGAAGGGCGAAACCGGTCGTGGCCTGTCAACGAATCTTCAGCAACCTTATGAATAGTGCATTACAAATATACAATGGATTTTTAATGTGTTTGCGTCGAATGCCCTTTATCGGTGTGAGCAGTTCGGCGGTCCGCGTTATTGTACAGCATATTCTCCTGGAATCCCTTGTGAAGCACGCCGAAGTCTCATTTTCGGAAACAACTTTTGAGTGCAGAATTTTGGGCCCCTTGATTGGGAATTACGGGTATTACACCTTTGAAAAATGTTCACTTTTATATCTTGACGTCGCTGTGACAATCATTCTCACGTCAATGTGGTTTTTTGTCCCTATTATGTGAGAATACATTATTCGAAGTGGTGTGTGAACACGCAACGACTGAAGTTTTCTAAACTTGAGAACAGGTCTAGCACCGCTCCAGCGGTCTCGCTGTACAAGCAACTAAATGGATTTATGCAGCCATGCAGTGAATCATTCATTTCTGTTTATGTTATCGATCGTGTAGCAGCTTGCCAGTGCCAGTGAACGGGTTGGCCTCTAATTCTCGGCTCTGGTGAGAAACCAAAACAACGTCTTGATAGGTGTATGAGGAGAAACTCTATTGGACTTGAAAGTTAAAAGTAACAAAAAACGGAATAGATTCCTATGGTTCAACACGTTTAACATAATCAAAGCATTACAGTGGGATTCAGCGCAAAAAGATAGCTTCTCCCGTATGATTCTGAACAGGAAAATTATGATCGATGAAATTACAAGTTATACTGATCCCGGCGTTTCGTCTCGCTAAACTTTTCACCCGAGGTAACCGAAAGACCGTTTATTTGGGGTCTAGATGTGAAAAAACTCGCTATCAGCTCACCCAGAAACAGAATAACAACCAGATTTCAAACGGAGAACCTGCACTGAAACGGTGACAGGCTTAATTTGAGTGCCCTTGAGGTTTATTGATCATTTTTATGCACGTCAAGATCTCTCAGAGGTACACTATGCTGTCTCGTTGGGAAGACATCCTTGGGATAATTGACTGAAGTTTCATTGTCCTTCAACTTGACAGCAATTGGGTAGAGATAAACAAATTATCTATTGCATCCCAATGCTTTTTTTCAGTTACACAACAAAGCGTGATAAATTCTGCTTGATGCTTTCAGTTTGGTTGGTGTGTTTTGCATTGATATGACATATGATAGGCTGGACATTTGATGTCACAAGGGTACAAACAGGGTGGTCATTGGTCGGGCGATACTTGTGATGCTTGATGTCACAGTGGAGGAAGGCAATACAGGAAGGTAGGTGAGCCAAATAGTCAGGCTTATCGAATCCGAATCAACACGACCCCAGCCACTGTTGTAACTCCATAGTAGATGAGTGATTCAGGAGATTGATGAAACCTATTCTATCGCGTTCGGTAGTCGAAGTTCTTGAGTGGGAAATCTCAAGTACTGGGAATGAGCCAGTGAGGTAAAGAGCGCTCCAGTTCAGTTGGCTACAGCAGGCAGAAATGGTCGAATTGTTATTTAGAACCCCACCGTTCTAACAACCACGGAAAATCAATTTATAGCTTTGTCTCTGGCAGGCTGACTGTGGCCAACAGGGAGTGGAAGAGTGTTATAGCTTGACAACTCATTCGGAGTCATCGAAAGCAGACAACAGTGTCTTTCTGGAAGAAGGGCGTTATCACTCCCATATACAAAGGTGGTAATCGCTCGGTCGTGTCAAACTACCGGCCGGTGATCTCCAAAGTGCTTGAGTGACTGGTGGCAAACCAAATCATTAAACACTTAGAGGAAAACGGATTGCTTTCGGCTGCCCAGCATGGTTTCAGAAAATACAGATCCTGTCTGTTCAATCTCCTCATTACCTTAGACGACTGGACGCAAGCTGTGGACAATGGAAATCCCGTTCACGCATGCTATCTAGACATCTCCAAGGCATTTGATCGCGTGAACCATAACATATTGTTACAAAAACTCGAGCATTATGGTATTACGGGAAAGCTGCTGGCTTGGCTTGAAATCTATTTGGCTGACCGAGACGCGCGTGTATGTGTTGACGGCGCTCTGTCCAAGCCAATTGCAGCTACAAGTGGAGTACCCCAAGGCTCTGTTCTTGGGCCTACTTTATTTTTATTATACGTAAACGATATACCTGAGCTCGTGAGCAGTAAAATCACTTTATTCGCAGACGATATCAAGATATGGTCAAGCATACGCACCATTGAAGACTGTCACCGATTACAAAAAGATCTCGATACACTTTATGATTGGTCACTGAAAAACAGACTACCGTTTAACCTCCAAAAATGTAAAATGCTCCGTGTAGGGAAGCCCTTTGCATATAACTATACGTTGGGTCCACAACCACTTTCTTGGACTAGTGAAGAAAAAGATCTTGGCGTGTGGGTCAGCAGCTGTTTAAAAAACTCCTTGCAATGCACAGCCGTCTACAAGAGGACCTCACAAGTCCTGTCGCTCCTAAAACGGATTTTTGGTCGTTTCACTCGACTGGCACTGCCCCGAGTAATCAATACCTACATCCGACCAACCATGGAGTACGCTATACAAGCTTGGTCACCATAGCTTCAAAAAGACATAATTCTTCTACAGCGAATATATCCTCGAGCCACGAAGCTGGTAATTGGGCTGCATGATAAACCATACGAAGACAGGATTGCCAGTCTCAACCCATTTGACTTCTACTATCTGCGCATCAGGGGAGACCTAATTCTAACATATGATATACTGAAGACACCTAATCATCCGCTGGAAAATCTTTTTGTCCGACGTCGACCACGAACAGGTAGGAGGCATGACTTTTCGCTCGCGGTACCTCACTCGAGGGTGAACTGTCGACGGAACTTTTTTGCGGTCCGAGTATGTTTCATTTGGAACTCCCTACCTCCCAATGTTGTACATTCGCCGAGTTTAACCATTTTCAAGAACAGTTTAGATGCATATCTTATGTCCAAACCGAACCTGTAACTGTTTAACTCCATGTGATACTCAGCAAACATTACGTATATTTTTGTGTCCCTATATACATACACGTTCACCCTATGGTCGTTGTAAATTTAACTGCTTTTTTTACCATTAAACCTTGAATTACCTTGAATTAGTTTGGGCTGGGTTACACAACGCCGCGTTATGACCGTTTGCTGTCCATTTGAACTGTGCCACGATCTTTTTATGTAGGCGTTGCACATCAGCATGGGCAAGTCTAACAGTCGAGCCTAATCCGTATCTACTGTTGTATTTTACCTGAATAAAAGTAGATATCTCTCTGCAAAAAATTCTAGATGTGACTGATGGACATTCGTTCTGCGCTTCCTTGCACTTGTGCCTGCTCTACAGAAAAATATTTCAGAGGCTATCCACTAATTTTGGACCGACAAACCCGCTCTACCTTGAGAGAATTTCAACCATAAAGAACAGATTGTCCCACAAACCGAATAAAATTAGACGGCTTCACAAAAATACATTAATTGGGCATTATTTCGCTGGAATGTCGTGCAAATTTCTGCGGGCATCGCATCGGTCAGGATCACGCTGGGTCTTCTATGTGTTGTAGATGTTGTTGATGTGATTGCAGCCACTGAATTCGACCAGCCCGCCCCCTCAAGTTGGGCAAAAGCGAAAAATGTTACCAAACAACGCCCCACTAGTTTGCCCGGCAGATGATGAGTCGGTTCGGAAATTTTGGAACGTCACTTGATCGGATTGTAGGAAAATGGAGGAACCAAGCGATTGAAGTATATTCCCTTGCGTAAAGTTTATGCAACTTGTTCCGTCCCATTGAGCATTGGACCAATGGCCACTCCGATGGTCAGTGGAGCGGTACTCTCCACTCAAATCTGTTACGGGTGTAACGGTGATACTACTAATAGGGAGGCATGCGAGTAGTATATTTTCTTGTAAATTCACTTTGCGTCTCTTGAAAAGAGAGGACTGTTGCGGAGTTGCTTTGTAGCATTTGCTCGGACTTGAACGACTGTCAATGAATATGCAGGAAAGTTCAGAAAGACGCGTTCAAGAGAAAATGAATGTTCAGTTTTTCTAAACAAGGCGCATATGAGCAGCAAAGGCCTCTTTCTTCCCACCAGTGTTATGGCTAATTTTTGCCAAGAAGCAACGAACTGCTCTTTCGTTCTTCGTGTAAGTCTTCAAAAACCCGCATGTAACCGGTCGAATTTGGGTTGTCCACATTTATCAAGCAGTGCATTCACTCTAAGCATTTAAGGGTGTTGCTCGCGCTCCGATTGCAGTAGAATTTACGGCTAACAAGCCAAGTGTTTCTGATTCTGCACACTGTGAACACTGTAAAACCAAGCTGAAATCCTAATATACGTGGTTAATAATAAAACTTTCAAGCACTTAGCTCGGTGACCATTCCCGAAACATTCGGTGATATTTATACTACGAGGCAACCAACATTTTAGCGAATTTCTATCTTCTCGGTCTGTTTAGCCTTCAGGTGTAACACGGCGAATCCAGGCCCGATACGAAGAGTAGTTGACATTCAGATGATGTGTTAGTCTGATTCCCAGCAAATTCACCAGTCTTGGTAGGCCAGACTTTAAACTAATTCGGATGTGGTCGGGTAAAAATCAGGTCAAAAACGTAGTAATCTCACATTTCATTGGAAATTTTTCCTCGGCTCATTAATAACCCCCATTAACTGTTAGAGATTTTCAATTAGGTGAAAAATACTTGGGACCGATTGAGTAGTCATCGCTTTCGAAAGAGTTTGGTGACAATCGGTAGGTTTATTGCTGAGCAACGTTTCGCTTTTGACACAAAAGCTTCGTCAGGTCAAGTGACTAGGTTCCGAGGTTGGTCGAGATTTAAGGCGGAAGGAGAACCAATCAGCTAAGTCAAGCTAAATCTCTGTTGGGTGTCGGCCGAGGGATTTTAGTGTGTTAGAGTGGTTGAACAAGTGTTGGGTCGGTGGGGAAACCTACATGTGTTTGGGTCCTGCCTAGGGTCTAGTTCTTCTGGTTCGGTTCATTTGATGGTTCCTCTTGAACTTCGTTTGAACCTTCTGTTAGTCTGTGTGGGTGAGCTAGTGCTAAGAAAGTTGTGTAGGAGGGATGCTGTGACCTTTGGTCGGTTGGGGTTTCCACCCCTACCCCCCGGTTTTTTCTAATGATCCTAAGTGGATTGACAACCACACCGTCACGTGTCAACTCGGCTTATCTAAGACCGCTTTCCATACGCTCGCTAGCTCCACACCCTCGATTCTATTCACGCTGTGATGCTTAGTGATTTCCACCGCCTCGGCTATCAGCCGTTGTGGTGTGAATCGCAGTCCCCGTCTTAAGACTTCCACATTCTCCAGATCTATTCTATGTCCCGTGTCTAAGGCATGTACCGCCATCGCTGAGTCTTTGACCAGCGTTTGGTATTCTTCTGCATTCCTTGGTGGCTTGTTAATCCTTCTTTTATGCTCACCAATTCTGGTGTGCAATTCCCTGGCAGTTTGTCCTATATAAACCTTAGCACAATCGTTGCAGTTAATTTTGTACACACAGTCCCTAGTCCTTTCAGCCGGCAGGGGATCTTTCAATTGCACCAAAACTGAGCGTAGCGTTTTTCCCTTCTGAAAAGCTACTCCAATGTTGGCTAAGTTCAACAATCTTCGAATAACCTCCGATGTTCCTGCTTTATATGGAATGACTGCTGTGCCAATCCATTCTTTACTGGGTCTAGATACTGGAACCAATATCTTCCTTAGTTGTCGCCTAATCAAACTCACTGGGTATCCTATTTCTTGAAGTTTGTTGGCAATCTCGATTTGAGCTGCCGTCCGGTCGATCTCTTCTGTGCACAGCGCTCTAACTCGACGAAACATCGATGAGACAATGCTGGCGTACACGGACTTTGGGTGTGCTGATGAATAGCTTAAGACGGTTCCCGTGTCTGTTGGTTTCTGGTAGACAGTCGTTTTCAATTTCCCACCAACCTTATGTGTTATACAGTCCAGAAAGGGTAATGTGCCCGATGTGGACTCTATCTCCATGCTAAACTTAATGTGTGGGTTTAAACTATTGAGATAGTCGTGGAAGCTGTTTACGTTGTCTCGTTTGATTACAACAAACGTGTCGTCAACATAACGCCAAAAAACTTTGGGTGGACAATGATATCCGGCCAAAGCTATTTGTTCGAAGTCCTCCATGTAAATATTGGCTAAAACTGGGGATATTGGAGATCCCATTGCAAGGCCTTGTTCTTGTGAGTAAACAGTTGTGTCAAAAACAAACTTATCAAGATTCAAACACACTCTTATGCCCTCAACTATTTCATCCACCGAGAGCTGTGTCCGTTCCCCGAGTGTCGTGTCTGCCAGTAACAACCTCTTAGTTACCTCCAGAGCATCTGCCCTAGGGATGTTTGTGTACATTGATATTACGTCAAAACTCACGAGGACTTCGTCCATCTCCAAAGGAAGCCCTGCGACCTTGTTGGCAAAGTCATACGAATTCCTAATGAAGGTGCTTGATTTCCCCGTGAGCGGTTTTAGTATACTAGCTAAGAATCTGGCCAGTTCATGCGGCGGCGAGCCTATACCATCCACTATTGGCCTTATCGGTACATCTGCCTTGTGGATTTTTGGCAGTCCGTAGAGTCGCGGTTGAATCGCACTTTTTGGATACAACCGATACCACTTACATTGCCCCAAATGGTTTATTACGCATCTTAAATATCTCCCAACTTCAACCTTACTCTTATTCATTATTGAAGTAATACTGCTACCGGTAGTTTGTCGGTAGGGTCCATCGGCGAGGTGTTGCCTGACCTTTTGAAGATAGTCGCTCTTATTCATCACTACTGTGGCTTTACCCTTATCGGCCTTGGTAATGACAATACTATCTACCTGTCTCAGTGTGTTCAACGCTCTCCGCTCTGATGGTGCAATATTTGGAGCTCCCGGCTGTTGGGATTTCAGGACTGTGACCGGTTGTATCCGTAGCTTCTCAGCTTCCGCTGAAGGAAGCTTTTGAAACACTGACTCTACACTAGGAATTATCTCCTCCGCTGTTATTACTTTTTTGCTCACAGCGAAGTTTAGCCCCTTTTCTAACAGACAGCGTTCGTCTTCACTCAGTGGTCTATCTGACAAATTAACTACACTACAGTAATTGGTGGATGGTTTCTTTGTTTCTATGACTTTTTTGGGGCCCTGAGTCATGGAAAGCAGTTGTTCGAACTTAGGGATCTGCCTATCCTTGCATTGCCGGCCCTGTGCAAGCTTCACTTCTGTGGCTTTGGTGTTGAGCATCTGGAAGTCGGTGGTTGAGATTGCGGTCTGAAGAGTTTGGCTGAGTTGACTGGCGTGGCGGCGTACATCGGTTAAACGCTGGGTGGTTAGGTAGATTCTCTGCTTGAGGAATGACTTGGCCGCTGACAAAGCAATTTTAGCAGAAGCAGCTGACGTATCCGGTGGTTTCACAATCAGGGAGTTGGGAATGATGTTGTGCTTTAAGCGTCGAATGTTGAATACGCGATGGTTCTCCCATTTTGCCTCCAGTCCCACCAATCGAACGTACTCGCTTGACATTTTTCGAACCTGAAGTCCGTAGGTATGTTGAATCACGTGGAAAATACTTGAAACCGATTGGGTAGTCATCGTTTTCGAAAACGTTTAGTGACAATCGGTAGATTTATTGCTGGGCAACGTTTCGCTTTTGACACAAAAGCTTCGTCAGGTCAAGTGACTAGGTTCCGAGGTTGATCGAGATTTAAGGCGGAAGGAGAACCAATCAGCTAAGTCGAGCTAAATCTCTGTTGGGTGTCGGCCGAGGGATTTTAGTGTGTTAGAGTGGTTGAACAAGTGTTGGGTCGGTGGGGAAACCTACATGTGTTTGGGTCCTGCCTAGGGTCTAGTTCTTCTGGTTCGGTTCATTTGATGGTTCCTCTTGAACTTCGTTTGAACCTTCTGTTAGTCTGTGTGGGTGAGCTAGTGCTAAGAGAGTTGTGTAGGAGGGATGCTGTGACCTTTGGTCGGTTGGGGTTTCCA